AAAAAGGGTAAATTTAACCAGGAAGGAATAAAATAAAAATAAAATATAAAAAATTAAGTTAAGAATGAGATAACTGTACAACACAAATTAGAATGAAGGGTAAGCAGCTGTCTTTTTAAATTACTTAATGGTTCCCATGGAAAACACTGCTTGACTTTACAGTGAAGTGAGCACAGAAAGCAACAGAAAGCATAAAGCAAGTATAACAGTTTACATGAGACGGTTCAAAAGGAGCCTGAAATGAGCATTTGACTAATGCTAGTTAGGCCTGAACATTTGGCCCCTACAGTGAGGGCAGCTGTAGACTCACAGGGATAGGCCACTAATGATGTTCATGAACATCATGAATGACATGCACCATCACTGCTGGCTATGCATCCTGTGTGTCAGCACACCTGTGACAAATGTACTTCAGTCTAAGAAATTGAAGTCAAAGAGCAGAGAACTGTCAGTCCTGAGCATCAGTCCGTCACTGGATCTGCCTGTTCTGCTACAGACACACATAACAGGAATCAGGTTTCCTGAAAACACACTGCATTAGTCCTACATGTGTTTCTAGTTGCAGCTTTTTTCTCTCAGCAGAGAAAGACCAGATTAGATTGAGCTTCATGATCCCAGCAGGATGGTGCAGGGTTAATATGAAGGGGACTCACCAATGGAAGAAATAGCATTGACAAGAATATGGAGAACATGGCTTAGTGCAGATCATGCTTTTTGCATTGACATGAACAGCAGGATATCAGCTGCATTTAAAGAAAGAGGCCAACATGAGACCACCCCTCCACCAGTTCAGTGGATTAAACACAAAGAAGAAACACAAGGAAAAAGCTGCAGCAGAACGAGAGGGAGCCACAAATCTGTCTGTCTTGGTTTTGTTTTAATCCTCATGTTAAGAGGATTGTGTGTAAAAATGTCATCATGAGAGAAGATACACATAAACATGCAGATGTTGCACACATGCAAAGGCACACAAACATGTGTCTAAACCCATCTTTACTGTGCATCACTAATCCTGCACGAGTCAAATGTTGCATTCTGCACTCACAGAGTATTTATTCTTTGTTCATAAATTGTGTACTGTGGGCAAATAACTGACTGATAGGAGGAAAAACAAGTTGGGAAAAAGCAAGGCACAATCTCGGGATAAAGGAAGGAAAATATTTCTGCAAAGATGAAACTCTCCATTTGTCATGCTGCTGTGGCAGTGGGTGGGGTAGGGGGTGGGGGTTAGGAGTCAGGCTCTGAGGAAACGAGCAGGAGGATAGAAAGGACCCATCTGTTCCCATTGTGGCAAATGAAGAGAGAGCAGGGAGAAGCAGAATGCAGAGCAGGAGGGAGGTAAGTGTTAAAAGCACTTTTCTCATCTTTAACTTGCTTTGATTCAGCTTTCAGACTAAATTTGGAGTCAGTGTAATGAATGAATGTGTCGTGGTCCGTGGTGTGAGATGTTAGGTTTCATTGTCAGATGGTGACGATATTACATGTGCACAGCCTGAATTACTGTACAGCTGTGCCAATACCACTGCTCGAATTCCTTCAAACTCTGTTTTTCATTTAAAGCCTGACTTCAGTCAGGATTACAGATAAGTCTAATCAGAAGATTTTGATCAGCCACAAAAATGAGGCCTCTAAATAAGGCTGAAAATTCTGTATCTTCTGAAATGCTTCCTAACCTTTTCCTAAATGTAAAAATGAGGGGGGGAAATCCTGTGATCCCTGTGACCCAAGTCACTACTTAAAATCAAACAGTAATATTAGAAACAGCCAAATCGCAATTATAATTGTAATTTCCAGTAATATAATAAGTTAAAACTGACCTGATATGCGCATGTTGGTAGAGGCAGATATTTGTATAGCTGGACTCAACCAGACATAGAACTCCAAATAAATGCTACTGTGTCTTTGTCCCTGCAAGAGGCTGAAATGACACCACGTTTTTCACCTTTATTAACACAACTTGATTTGTTGTCCCCAAGAGACCAAATAAGAAACATAAAAAGTCCTGAATGCAGCTTTAACTAGTCAAACGCTGTGAAATGCAAAAATAAGTCAGCTTTGGGGTTAAGACAAAAATGTATGCACTTACATTTTAGAGCATGAACTTTTCCTGATCAACTGCTTTGATGCAACGTGATTTGCCACCAAAGCAGTTCCTCTAATGTTCATTCCAGCTTGTTTAATTCAGAATGTTCTTTCTGACAGTCGGCTCCTTTGACCTTCGACCTCTACTCTTGTGGCTGCTTTAATCTCATTACTTTAAAGCTGCCTTGTCCTCCATTCATCCTTCCGCCCTCCTTCTCTGCCCCAGTGCTCTAACTGAAATGGTACACCCTCTAACTTAATTAATGGAGGCATCTTCTGATTGACATGGGCACACACATATCTAGCAGTGTCCTATACGGCAGGGCACAATGCCCTCCCCTCTGTATTTTATGGTAATTCTCGTCCATCTCGTGATTGAATCTGGTAGGTTTCTCGACCCTGTGGGAATATACTACGTTTCCCATCAGCTTCTTTGACTCACTGCTTTACTGACTCACTGTGCTATTGTGACATGGAGTGTCACAGTGTGCTTCCTGTTCTTCTGTGACAGTTTTTGCACTTTACTTTCTAGCAGCAGCAAAAGTAGCCACAGGACGTGCATCACCACACAGGGAAGGTTGGGAAGGGCTGGTTGCATGAAGAGATTTGATTGGGTAATCTAGTGCCACCGATAAAAATGAATGGATGGGCTGCTGTCAGTGCTTGTAGGGCCAGTGCACAGCAGACCTTCAATCCAGTCTGTAGCCTGTGTAACTATATCGACCAAAAAATGATGTTGACACATCAGCACACCGGGCATGTCAGATTACCAATAACTCTTTAGTGGATCTGTTAGACTGGAGTGCAAATTGCACAGCATCCAGAGACGTCATGAATAACCTTCATGATGATTGAGCGCCATGGGCAGTAGTCATGCAGGCAGATGTCCTCTTTGGGACTATGATGATGGTGGTGGATGTGAAGCACACTGGGACAGGCAATAGTCTCTTATATTTCATTACATTGCAGGTGCAAATGTAATGTACTCACCTTTGTATCCTTCTGAGACCCAGAAAAAGGTTTTAGTTGGTCTCTGCTCATTAATGCAGCCTTGTTGCATCACCAGCCAGAGGACATTCTTTCTTTCTCATCCGAGACATAAAGATGACTCGTGACTTTGATTGACTGCCAAATGCTGAGTTATACACCAGGTCATGTCACATATACAGATATGCTGAATGATGCTTTCAATTTTAAGAGACGAGCTCCTCCCTCTGGTTTGTAGTTGATCTGTTTTCTCATTAAAAAGTCTTTCTACCCAATTCCAGTTTCAGAGTTTCAGAGTTGAACTCTAATGAAAAAACTTCCAAGGCTTAGCGTACACATTGCTTCTTATGCATAATGGAAGATGAGTGCAGTCACTTTGTCAAAGAACATACCAGTGTGTCCTCTGACCTTTCACCATCCCGGGACAGCTATTCGTCTGACTCCCTGCATACAAACTGGGTGAAATCAGAGTTAGTAATTCCTCTGTCCACTACAAAGGACACTGAATAAAAGTTCTCTTTCAAAAGTGTTAACATTACTGCACATTTCTGAAATTCTACTAAATTGAAGATAACAATCTAATATTGAAGAAACGATTTGAGGTTTCATTATAATATTAAATTTAATTCAATTTTATTTACATAGCGCCAAATCACAACAATAGTCACCTCAAGGTGCTTTATACCCCTGTATATCATATCACTTAACCTGAAATGTGGAACCTCCAATGCCTTTTCATTTGGAAAAGAACTCTGTTATTACTCTATTAGCCCAATCCCCAAAAATGTGGCATGGGGCGATCGTGGCTCAAGAGTTGGGAGTTCGCCTTGTAATCGGAAGGTTGCCGGTTCGAGCCCCGGCTCGGACAGTCTCGGTCGTTGTGTCCTTGGGCAAGACACTTCACCTACCGCCTACTGGTGTTGGCCAGAAGGGCCGAAGGCGTGATATGGCAGCCTCGCTTCTGTCAGTTCTGTCAGTGCGCCCTGTGGCTACAACTGTAGCTTGCCTCCACCAGTGTGTGAATGTGAGAGTGAATGGGTGAATGGGTGGATGACTGGATGTATAGAGCGCTTTGGGGTCCCTAGGCGGGACTAGTAAAAGCGCTATACAAATACAGGCCATTTACCATTTATATCAATAAAAGCCCAGTAGGACCACAGTAGGACTCAGATCGCATAGATTCTGGTTGATGTAGAGGTTCATGTCCTTCACAGAGGACACAAATGAATATAGTGTTTTTTCTATTTTAATAATGGCAAAGAATGCAAACTTCTGTGACTGCTGTGAGGTGACAGAACTAACCACTGCACCAGACCTTGTGTCCGTGTCAAGGCACCCTCTGTACCACTGTGCAAAATGTTAAAATACTTTGTTTATTTTGGATAACTTAAGGAAAACTCTTTAAATGTCGGGCTTTAGGGTTTTTTGCTGCCCTGTCTGTATCGTTGTCTTTAATGTTTTAACACAACTTTGCTTCATTTGCAGTGGATTTCCACACACTGAAAATACTGCTTTCCACTGAATATTCTGTTCCAAAAACATGTAATCAAGATGAAGATGTATATGACTTTCCTCTGCTTGAGCTGTGGCTGGATGCAAACAACTTGTGCTGCTAGTGTGACTCTGTCACCATCCTCTGCACCAGTGACACCCACTGAAGATGAGAGCTCCAAACTTGTGGTAACCATACAACTATTGATGGGAAATTAATAATATCTTTACCAACTCTCTCATATATTACATTGGTAGTGAGCTTTATATATAATATAGATACAGGACTGCAGGATAGAAATGGAAGAAGAACACCCCGTTAAAGAGATCATTTACCCCCTTTTTTTAGGATTGGCTGATGAAGTATGGTTACCTCCCACCCTCAGACCCTTCCACCGGTCAGCTGCAGGCTTGGACAGGTGTCACCAATGCTGTGAGGGCCATGCAAAGGTTTGCAGGCCTAAAAGACAGCGGAGTTGTAGGTGAGGAATACAGATGGTGTCTGTAAAAAGATGTTTATGCTGCTTCTCAAATCTAGTGTTCTTTGTGTGATTGGATAAAGTCTGTTCTCTGGTGTCCAGATGAGGAGACAATGGCGGTGATGAACACGCCACGCTGCTCACTACCAGACCAGGAGGAATCATCCATACTATCGGCCAACCAAGAGAAAATAAATATGAGGAGGCGGAGAAGATGGGCTGTCTCCATGTGGACGCGCGGGAACATCAACTGGAGGTGGGATCAAATTTGCGAGGAGACTGTGATCAGTTCGATGTAGTAATTCACAACGGCTTCCTATTGTCAGTAAGCTGTGCTTGGTGAAGTATCTGCCACTCGGTGAGGTCTTTGCGTCTATCTTACCTCGTCAGGTTGCAGTCATATCCCTCCTCTTCTCATCTGTCTCGGGAAACAATTCGCTCACTTATCTTCTACGCTTTAAGAGTGTGGGCCGAGCCAACGCCACTGGAGTTCCATGAGGTTTGTCAGATGCCACTTTTGACTGGAACTAGCCAAAGTCACACAGTCGATGAGTTTCATTCATTCTGTTTCCAGGTGGGCAGTCCGGATGCAGCTGACCTGCGGGTAGACTTCTTCCATGGTTACCATGGTGATGACTATCCCTTTGATGGGGCAGGTGGAGCAGTAGGCCACGCTTTCTTCCCCTCAGACCCAGCCCGGGCGGGAGTAGTTCATTTGGATGCGGAGGAAGAGTGGGCATTCAGACAGCCAGGTAGAACAACACTTCAAAAACATAAAAGTCTAACCTTTTATTAGTCTTTTGTCTTGTGTCTTCACATGGTGTAGATTAATGCAGCTTGTGACCAAGCTTGACAGTGCTAGGCGGTAACTCAGTGCTCCACACTTCTGTCAAATTATGGTCCCTTCTTGCTCCAAAGTTGCCAAATGGCAGTGGTCAAAACAATAACACTGAGTCAAAACCAGTGAGCTTTGGACCACAATGCTACCTCCATACAGTCTATGGCCATACTATACCAGTAAACCATGACTTGTTTATCTTCTTCTTCTAATCAGGTCATCATTTTGTTTTCTGTTCCTCCTCTTCTGTGTCCTTCCCAGTCTCTGAGGGTACCGACCTGTTCACAGTGCTGGTTCATGAGTTTGGCCACGCACTGGGCCTTCCTCATTCCTCATCCCGTCACTCAGTCATGAGGCCATACTACCTGGGTCCTGTCGGAGACCCTCTCCACTACCGCCTGGGACCCCAAGACCTGGAGCACATCACTCAGCTCTATGGTGAAGCTTCTCACACCATGATTTAATCATTAATATTGATTATAGTTGATGTGTGAGGATGTGTAAACTAGACTGAATGTAAAATTTCAGTATTAGCACACATAGGATAATATAA